CAGTGATGCAATCTGACACATGACACTGGCAAAAAACTGCTCTTGCAAGTCACTGCTATGACACCCTGCCGACATACCTATGGCATGTGACTCTAGCAGATTTTTAAAGTCAGCACCTTGAATCAGAACATGACTCTCTTCCTAGCTCTGGTTCATGCCGCATGACTCTCAGATGCTACCCTCAGACCCTGACACTGCTAGCGGCGAATGGGTCATGCCGCAACCAAATGACACTACACTCTGAAGCGATGACCCTGACTGCAATCGCCCAATGTCCTGCCATCGCTTGACACTGGAAGGTCGGGCCTCGGTGATGCAATGTGATATATTATGTGACACTGACAAAAACTGCTCTTGCAAGTCACTGCCATGACACTCTGCCGACCTACCTATGGCATCTGACTCTAGCAGATAGATGATAAGAACATGACTCTCATCCTAGCTCTCGGCGGCGAATGGTCCATGCCGCATGACTCTTTTAGATGCTACCCTCAGACCATGACACTGCTAGCGGCGAATGGGTCATGCCGCAACAACATGACACTACACCCTGGATGCCTCTGTGCTCTCAGGCGCTGACCCTGACTGCAATCGCTCGGTGTCCTGCCATCGCTTGACACTGGAAGGTCTGGCCTCAGTGATGCAATGTGATACATGTGACACTCACAAAACTGCTCTTGCAAGGCACTGCTATGACACTCTGCCGGCCTACCTATGGCATGTGACTCTAGCAGATTAATAGACGATAATTTAATTGAACAATATGACTCTCATCCTAGCTCTCGGCAGCGAATGGTCCATGCCGCATGACTCTCTCTTAGATGCTACACTCAAACCCTGACACTGCTAGCGGCGAATGGGTCATGCCGCAACAAAATGACACTGCACTCTGAAGCGATGATGACCCTGACTGCAATCGCCCAGTGCCCTGCCATCGCTTGACACTGGAAGGTCGGGCCTCGGTGATGCAATGTGATACATGTGACACTGATAATACAACTCTTGCAAGTCAGTGCTATGACACTCAGCCGACCTACCTATGGCATCTGACTCTAGCAGATAATAATAGACGATAAGAACATGACTCTCATCCTAGCTCTCGGCGGCGAATGGTCCATGCCGCATGACTCTCTTAGATTTTGCCCTCAAACCATGACACTGCTAGCGGCGAATTCGGTCATGCCGCAACAACATGACACTACACCCTGGATGCCTCTGTGCTCTCAGGCGCTGACCCTGACTGCAATCGCTCGGTGTCCTGCCATCGCTTGACACTGGAAGGTCTGGCCTCAGTGATGCAATGTGATACATGTGACACTCACAAAACTGCTCTTGCAAGTCACTGCTATGACACTCTGCCGGCCTACCTATGGCACGTGACTCTAGCAGATTAATAGACGATAATTGAACAATATGACTCTCATCCTAGCTCTCGGCAGCGAATGGTCCATGCCGCATGACTCTCTCTTAGGTGCTACACTCAAACCCTGACACTGCTAGCGGCGAATGGGTCATGCCGCAACCAAATGACACTACACTCTGAAGCGATGACCCTGACTGCAATCGCCCAATGTCCTGCCATCGCTTGACACTGGAAGGTCGGGCCTCGGTGATGCAATGTGATATATTATGTGACACTGACAAAAACTGCTCTTGCAAGTCACTGCCATGACACTCTGCCGACCTACCTATGGCATCTGACTCTAGCAGATAGATGATAAGAACATGACTCTCATCCTAGCTCTCGGCGGCGAATGGTCCATGCCGCATGACTCTTTTAGATGCTACCCTCAGACCATGACACTGCTAGCGGCGAATGGGTCATGCCGCAACAACATGACACTACACCCTGGATGCCTCTGTGCTCTCAGGCGCTGACCCTGACTGCAATCGCTCGGTGTCCTGCCATCGCTTGACACTGGAAGGTCTGGCCTCAGTGATGCAATGTGATACATGTGACACTCACAAAACTGCTCTTGCAAGGCACTGCTATGACACTCTGCCGGCCTACCTATGGCATGTGACTCTAGCAGATTAATAGACGATAATTTAATTGAACAATATGACTCTCATCCTAGCTCTCGGCAGCGAATGGTCCATGCCGCATGACTCTCTCTTAGATGCTACACTCAAACCCTGACACTGCTAGCGGCGAATGGGTCATGCCGCAACAAAATGACACTGCACTCTGAAGCGATGATGACCCTGACTGCAATCGCCCAGTGCCCTGCCATCGCTTGACACTGGAAGGTCGGGCCTCGGTGATGCAATGTGATACATGTGACACTGATAATACAACTCTTGCAAGTCAGTGCTATGACACTCAGCCGACCTACCTATGGCATCTGACTCTAGCAGATAATAATAGACGATAAGAACATGACTCTCATCCTAGCTCTCGGCGGCGAATGGTCCATGCCGCATGACTCTCTTAGATTTTGCCCTCAAACCATGACACTGCTAGCGGCGAATTCGGTCATGCCGCAACAACATGACACTACACCCTGGATGCCTCTGTGCTCTCAGGCGCTGACCCTGACTGCAATCGCTCGGTGTCCTGCCATCGCTTGACACTGGAAGGTCTGGCCTCAGTGATGCAATGTGATACATGTGACACTCACAAAACTGCTCTTGCAAGTCACTGCTATGACACTCTGCCGGCCTACCTATGGCACGTGACTCTAGCAGATTAATAGACGATAATTGAACAATATGACTCTCATCCTAGCTCTCGGCAGCGAATGGTCCATGCCGCATGACTCTCTCTTAGATGCTACACTCAAACCCTGACACTGCTAGCGGCGAATGGGTCATGCCGCAACCAAATGACACTACACTCTGAAGCGATGACCCTGACTGCAATCGCCCAATGTCCTGCCATCGCTTGACACTGGAAGGTCGGGCCTCGGTGATGCAATGTGATATATTATGTGACACTGACAAAAACTGCTCTTGCAAGTCACTGCCATGACACTCTGCCGACCTACCTATGGCATCTGACTCTAGCAGATAGATGATAAGAACATGACTCTCATCCTAGCTCTCGGCGGCGAATGGTCCATGCCGCATGACTCTTTTAGATGCTACCCTCAGACCATGACACTGCTAGCGGCGAATGGGTCATGCCGCAACAACATGACACTACACCCTGGATGCCTCTGTGCTCTCAGGCGCTGACCCTGACTGCAATCGCTCGGTGTCCTGCCATCGCTTGACACTGGAATGTCTGGCCTCAGTGATGCAATGTGATGCATGTGACACTCACAAACTGCTCTTGCAAGTCACTGCTGTGACACTCTTGGCATGTGACTCTAGCAGCTTAGATGATGATTGAACATGACTCTCATCCTAGCTCTCGGCGGCGAATGGTCCATGCCGCATGACTCTCTCTTAGATGCTACACTCAAACCCTGACACTGCTAGTGGCGAATGGGTCATGCCGCAACAAAATGACACTGCACTCTGAAGCGATGACCCCGACTGCTATCGCCCAGTGTCCTGCCATCGCTTGACACTGGAAGGTCGGGCCTCGGTGATGCAATGTGTTTAATTATTATATTAAATTGAAATTATTATTGTTATATGTGACACTGACAAAAACTGCTCTTGCAAGTCACTGCTATGACACTCTGCCGACCTACCTATGGCATCATTTATTGAATAATATTTATTTATTATAATTAAATTTAAATATTAAACTAAATATGTCATTTAATTATTAAAATAGACGACGACGAAAATAATCATTGAACAACATGACTCTCATCCTAGCTCTCGGCGGCGAATGGTCCATGCCGCATGACTCTTTCTTAGATTAGATGCTACACTCAAACCCTGACACTGCTAGCGGCGAATGGGTCATGCCGCGCAAAATGACACTGCACTCCGGATGCATCTGCGCTCTCAGGCGATGACCCTGACTGCAATCGCTCAGTGTCCTGCCATCGCTTGACACTGGAAGGTCTGGCCTCGGTGATGCAATGTGGTACCTGACACTGACAAACTGCTCTTGCAAGTCACTGCTATGACACTCTGCCGACCTACCTATGGCATCTGACTCTAGCAGACGATAAGAACATGACTCTCATCCTAGCTCTCGGCGGCGAATGGTCCATGCCGCATGACTCTCTCTTAGATGCTACCCTCAGACCCTGACCCTGCTAGCGGCGAATGGGTCTTGCCGCAGCGGCGAATGGGTCTTGCCGCAAACACCAGCATGACTCTGCACTCTAGGGCTCCACGCTGACACTCGAGGTGATCCACGGTGAGGGCGATGTTCACATGAGAAGCTTGCTGACACTCGAAGCGAATTGTCAGTGGTAAATTACCACTGACAATTCGTTTCGAGTGGCAGCTTGAGCTAACGTGGTTTATGGTTGTTTGACACTACAAACTTATGGTTGTTTGACACTACAAACCATACAATCAATCGTTGTATACCAAGACCCAGCAAAACCACAGAAATTAAAAACACTCCGAAAGCACAGCCCAGTTAAATTATTTAAATTCAGGCCGAATTTAAATAATTTAACTAATTTAAATATTTTGGGGCCCCCAATATTTAAAATATTTAGATTATTTAAATTCGGCCTGAATTTAAACAATTTAAATAATTTAAATAAGTTAAATAATTTAAATATTGGGAAGGACCCTGGGGAGGGGGCCGGGCCGGGAATTTAATTAATTTGAATATTTCGGGGCCCACAATATTTAAATTAATTAAACTATTTAAATTATTTAAATTCCCGGCCCGACCCCCTCCCCAGGGGCCACCCCAATATTTAAATTATTTAAATTATTTAAATTCTGGCCGGATCCCACCCAGAAACCCAAATAGGGTTTATTTGGAAGCTGGCTCTTGTGTATATATTAGGGATTTAGCTCACTTTTCCCTATCTAAATACAAATGCCAGCTTCCAAATAAACCCGGTTTAAGCCGCACCCCCCCCCCTAAGTTGAGCCCCGAAGCCGCAAAAGTCTGCCTGCGGTCGCTGCTCTGCTCAAAGCCGTTCCACCAGAATGGCCTCTTTCTCGGGATCTCGTTCCAGGAGGGCGAAGCGCTCGACGAGAGTGAGCACCACCGGATCCGTGGATGTGCGAAGCACGCCTGGAAGGTGGGAGGACGGAGGATCTCTGGTACTTAAGGGCTTTGGGCGATTTTGGGCTTAGGGCCGTTGAGAGTGCATTGAGCAGCTCGGGTTTTTTCAGTTCAATTCCACAGGCAGGGATGGGCTCACCTGTGAATGCATGCAGTTGCACGGATGCACATGCAAAGAACCTGGACCCGGAACCCCCACATGTGTTGTGCCCCCTCCGTTCTACGCATGCCTTCAAGACGCCCCTAGTGAAACATGTACTTATACTCTCAACCCAACACCTCATACTGAGCCTCAGAGTAACCCCGAAAGCCTTTGCCGTCCAGGGCGCCTGCTGAAAGGTCGGGCACAGAGTAGCCGTGCAGCGCATCCGCCCAGACCCATCCTTCTGGAGTTTCGGGGAGGATGCCACCAACCTTGCCACAGAAGACGATTTGGGGTTTGGGATGGGTTAAGCTTAGGGTCGCGAGGTTTTGTGCCCAATTGCAAAACTGCCGGCCTTGATACCGATGTGTAGCCCGATTTGAACTCGTAAAACCTGTTGGTTCTACACTACTTCAATGCCCTGGATAAAAGGCGTACATAAATCCGGAGCCTACACCAAGCCACAAACAGCTTGCACAGCGATCTTCGGATGTGATGGACAGCCTTCTCGTCTCGCCCGGGTCCAGACGATCACAGAAAATTGCGACCCTAAATCCCAGCCCGAAAACCTAAACCGCAATCCCCGAAACCCTCAAAGAACCGGTAGCGTTGAGGATTTAGCCCGCAGGGTGCACCGTGTTCGGACATTTTTGCAATGTGGGTTTAGGGATCAGGGTTTAGGAGGCAGTAGGATTAGACCAGACATCCCGAAAGATGGAGACGGCTTCCTGCCTCATACTCCACCGGCCCATGCCCGTCCTGGCCATCGGCAAGGAAGGGTTCATGGAAACTACTTGGAGGATCATGGGACTTAGTAAGTAAGGTTATAAGTACCTTAATTTGGGTTGTAAGTATAGTTACCCTAATTATAACCCTAGTTACTAAGTCCCATGATCCTTTAAGTACCTGAATACCGACTGGGAGCTCCTTGCCTTTCCGGTGCCAATCTTCACAAGTTTAAGGGCCTGAAACCGGGTTTCTGCAGTTTGCACAACCCATTGTGGAGTTGCGGATTTGCTCTGGATCTTGATCTTCCGCCGTTCCGAGCAGTAGTCGTCATCGTAGTCGTAGTAGTCGGAGTAGGAGTAGGAGGAGTATGTGGGAGGTGCCGGCGAAAGCGTAGGCGTAGGCGTAGGAGGCGTAGGCGAAGGCATAGCGGCAGGGGTAGGAGCAGGAGGAGGAGGAGGAATTAGTAGGGTTTGGGTTACGGGTTTGTCAGGCAGGGCAGCTCTGGCAGAATGGAGACCCAAGTGCAGCCTCCCCCACCCCAGTTCCCCCGCCATCAGAACACTTAGTCACCAGGAAACGACTACAGGACTTCAGCAATTACTTCCTAAGCCCGAGACCATCATGAACCCTAAAGCAAACCTACAGTATGTATTTCCTAAACCAAGAGACAGTAGACCATCATAAGCCCTAAAGTGCCCCTTGTAAAGGAAACCTCTTGAAAGGTCTGGGTCCTCATAGTTGTTCAAGAAGATGAAAGCCTCCGCGTCAGAACGGCGGCTGATGACGAGCTGGTTGGCGCGAACAGACTCCACTTTCCTGAGCGGCTCAAGGTCAGCTGCCTTAGAGGTTCTTCACCAGTATATCATCACTGTTAAAGGCCGGTGCCGGATGAGTATTTGTTGATTTTGCATGGCCTTCTATCGAAATCCGTAGCCAGCAAAGAGGGCTCCCAATTCAAGCCGGGTTCATGGTGGCGGTATGAAGCTTCAGGGCCTTGCGAATGTTGTTCAGCGCCTGAAGAAAAGAATAGCCTGGTGTTGTCGTAGAGAAGCCGGCATTCCATTGAGGTGGATGAGTAGTGTTGAAGCCGTGCTCTGTCCCGTAGAAGATGATGGGCATCCCTTGCATCATCATTGTCCATGCGACGGCATTCCTCATCCGAGACACATCGCCCTTGCAGTACAGCCCTATGCGCTGCATGTCGTGGTTGTCGACGAAGTTCCCCAGCAGGTTCAGGTCGTGCACAGCACCGGGATTGTCCTGAAAAGAAAGAAAGTAGAAGCTTGGACAGCTGAGTATTCTAGGCTTTCCTGCAACAGAAGGCAGCCTTCCGCGCGCAGGACACAGGGCGGGCGGAAGGGGATGTTGCAGGGTACGAGCAAGAGTGGGTGCAGGTCACCACAAGAACATCGGACCTTCCGGGCAGAGCACATCACTTGGCAATGCCGAAGCGCATCGATTCTGATGAGCCATGTACGACAACATTCAATCGATGATGAGAAAAACTGTTATCCTCCCTCCACCTGGCCGAACACAAGGTCTTGGCTTGCGCCTGGACTCCATACGATCGCGGGAGTACTTACCAGCGGCAGCATCACCAACCGCAGTCCATGCCAGAAAGTTGGAACATCGCTGTACCCAAAGAGTATAGATCGCCCTTCGGTCTCTGAACCCCAACCCCACCGTCCTCAAAAACCATCCGTATGGCCGCGCTCAGCAGGTTGAAGTCAAGGTTCGCCTTTGTAGTCCAACTTCCACTGTACGCTTGCTCTGTTGTAGATAAGGCTAACGGTTTCAGGGCTGTTCTAGAGATTCTAGGTAGGACTTTTCCGATAACGAATGCGAGAAACCTAAAACCCCAGCAAACCTAAGAAAACACACTAGAAACACCTGTGGTCCGAGAACCCCCTTGTAACAGAAGCACCTAAAAGTCCTAAAGTCCTAAAAGCTCTCCCCTCTGAAACCCTGAAACCTCCCCTTCCTTTGCCCAGCTGCCCCGGGCCAGAAGGGAAGGCCGCAGAAGGCCGGGGTCGCTCGGAAGTGGACGTAGAAGTTCAGGAGCCCTTTCCTTCTTTGCGCAAAGGGTGACGGGGGGGGGGGGGGGGGAGTTGGGGGGGGGGAGAAGGAATTCGATATATTGTAGGGTTTGGGGTTCGGGGAGGTAGGGGGGAAAGCAGTAAGGTTGGGTGACACATAGCGACAGAGCTGCTCAAAAAGCAGTGGGCTTGGCCAAGTGGGCTCTATCGTCCCTCGCAGGGACGAAGGTCTAAGAGCCGTAAACACCAACCCCGGAGAACTAGAACTACCCAGGTTCAGACTGAGGGTTTAGGGCTCTAAAGTGCGACACGTCGCCAAACCGAAAGCCTGTGAGAAGCTAAGGCAAACGGGGAAATAGTACCCCATGTAGCAGATGCAGGAAGATCCTCAGAACATCTTAGAACCATTTAGCAATGGGTCCTTGCGACATCTAAGGATGGAGATGGATGGAGATGTTGAGCTCATGGTCACTCTTCCGGAATAAGGTGAACCCATATCAGGACAAGTCGGTATTCGATCGAATCAATTTGAACACCTACCCCCCCCAATCCTTAAACCCCAAACCCTCAGACCTTGACAGCTTCGGCCCCAAATTAAGATTAAGCCGAGCTTCAAGACAGGCTTATCGGGCGAAGCTTGGCCCGGAGCGTAGGACTTGAAGAAGGTCCAATTGCTCGCCGTGACCTGCGACAACTCAGGATCTGGATTTAGCTTGCACGGGTTTCGGGGTGGAGGGTATGGTAGCTTGAGAGCTAGCGTTGTGCGACAGCATGGATTCCACTCAGCGAGACCTTTCTCGGTCGATTCAAGTGACGAAAAACCACGCACCTGCGACGGCACAATAAAGCAATGAAGCCCGAAAGCGGTCAGCGGGTGGTGAATTAGAGCTCAGGCAGGTTCAGCCGGTTTTAGGGGTTTTGTGCTCTAGGGTTTACTGAACCCGAAACTCCTACTTTGGGCTAGAGCGCTCCGCGAAAGCTCCCAAGGCCGCCTGACCAGGCCCTTCTTGTACCCTGAAAACAGGGTGTAATATGGTCCTTAATAATAGTAGATAAGTCGGGTCGGGTTTGGGGGTACATGGCCCCCAATAGTCGGTATTTCGGATTTAGGGTCTAAGCGTATATGGTCCCTGACCGTAGGTATCTAGCATTTAGTCCCTGATAGTAGGTGTTTAGGGTGTCATAGAGGGTAGATGGAGAGTCGGCTCCGAAGCATGCGAACCCGAACTCCGAAACTCGACATCTCCAAGCCCCATAGCCGCTGCTTCTAGGATCCTAAAGGGAGAGGGTTCTGAGGGGGAGGGAGAAGAGGGGATTATTGGATGATATACACCCTTTGAACACCCCTCCTTTTTGGATCCCATCATATCCTAGAACTAAGCTCGAAGAACATGTATCTGCCTCCCCAAGAATCGGGATTCCCACGGCTGCCTGGAACCTTGAGCATGGCTCGTGGCTCTGTTCTTACCTTTGGTTAGTAGGGAATGGAAGAATGGTAGCAATAGCTCCATTCCCTACTGACCAAGGGTAAGTCTGCTGGGGGTTTTCAGTTTCGGACTTTCGGGTGACGTCAACAGCGGGTTTCGGGCCTTTAGACTCTATGTGATGCAGCGTCCTCGGGCTTCTTGTATTCTCTCTGTAAGGCAGCAGTGACTTTAGATTTCGGTGCATGAGATATGACATACTTGACTAAGGTCATATAGCCTAGGGTTCCGTGGGCCAGCTAATTCAAAGACATGTCGTGCATCCCCTTAGTCATTTGCATTCTGTGTGAAGCGTGCTTCGGTCATTACGATTCCAGGGTTGGGCTTCGGGGAGCCTGACCGCAGTGGACGACTAGGTGGGCTCAGGGCGCGGAGCTTAGCTCAGCTACATGTCTGTCTCCAAACCCCTTCATATCTCTGCCATATCGCCACAGTACAGGAAGCCATTTGCAGTCACTGGCTTCTAGAGAATTATACAGCGCCCAAATCGTCAATTGGTGGACCCGACTGAGAAAGGTTGTACTTGGGGCCAAAATCAAAAGACCACCAATCAAAAATGCGAGCCCCAATTAGAAACATGTGAAGTCTGGGTAGAGCATTAGGTGGGGTTGGGGGATCTACTGAGTATCTCGTACAGGTAGAACTGTACCTGGAGGAACTGAACCCTTTAGCTGTGCAACTTCGACCAAATAAACCCAATGGGAACAAACGGCACCCGACTTGGCAGCGTAAGAAACAAATCCAAGCCTCGAAATATGCCGAAAAGCCTCCTGTCCTGATTTACAATTGGGGCTCTATATGAAACAACAAGGGAAAGCAAAATTGATCCCAAAGCAATAACTAGTTAACGCTCAAATCGCCAAGGCTTAAATCTTCCAATCTTCTAGAAAAGCCTCAGCGAGTTGAGCCATCGATTTCTGAGGCCGAGCTTAGGGGCTTAGGGGTCCTTATGGTAAGGACTGCTCGCGGGGAAAGGGCTTGTCACTTTCAGATGTTCGACACTTTTAAGTTTGGGGCTGAGGGCTTAGGTGTTGTATGCCAGAGTTTCTGGGCAAACTGCTAACCTGGAAAAAACAACATAACCAAGCCACACACCTTGAATACAGTCTAAGTGTCCCTCAGATATCAGAAACTAGGCCCCTTCAATTTCAATCTGCAGACTGTTGGGTCTGAATAGGTCTGAGGGTTCAAGCTTTTGCGTTTGCGCGCAGTAAACTCGAAACCCCGAACTCCTACATCCAAGAAGACCCCCTGTAACACATCCTTGGGGCAGTGCCTATAAGCCCTAGGGTCTGTTTTAGCATGAGTTTTACGATAGATGCCTACCGAATCAACATGGGGTTCGTCACGGCGGGTTCTTGTTCCTAGGACTCTAATGAGAAATTTGGTACAAAAAGCAAACTGCTACCATTCTTCTACCAAATATTCAGACCCGTCCACGAAACTATACTCTAGAACCACGGAGCTCTAATCAATCCCTTCTCTTCCTCTCTGGACGAGTCACTCATACATAAGGCTCCTTAACCCTCGGCTCGGAAACCTGAAACGTTGAGTTCTTATGGAGGCCTTCCCTATTCTGGAGTATATAACTCCTTCAGGCACGGTCATAAAACGGGCCCGGCATTAGTAGTTAGCAATTGAAGCCACTACTCGTAGCGTAATTTGAGCATCCAGGGGCTCGCTCAGAAAGTCCCTTGGCACGTAAGGTGCCGTGTCCAGTCGAAAGCCATCCTTAAATGAGATGCGTGTTCATCGTCGTGCCTCTCTTTGCTACTAAGTCGGCGCTGTTGCTCTTATCTCTATCATCATGGAGATAATTGTCCTTATTGCTTCTACATGGCCGTTGTGTGTAAGTATTAATCGCTGTCACTGCTCGTTTCTTTTGGGTTGTTGTGGTTGTTGTTGTTGTTGTTGTGGTGGTGGTGGTGGTGGTTGTGGCTGTGGCTGTGGCTGTGGCTGTGGCTGTTGTTGTTGGTGGTGGAGTTGTTGTTGGTGGTGTTGTTGTTGGTGTTGTTGTTGACGTTGCTGTTGTCATTTGTGTTTTATTGTTCGTGGTCTGCCTTTTGTCATTGCCTTTTATCTTGCTCCTGTTCTTTGCTGGTGCTGCTGTTGGCATTGCTGTTGGATTTGCGGCTGTCGTTGATGCCGCATTGATGCTAATGATTTGTGTTTCGTTGTTGCTGCTATGTACGCTCTCAAGAATCTGTACTGGCCGTCTTGCAGCTCAGAGCTTCTAGGATTCTGGGATGTCTGTATGTGTTTTTGAACATTGAATGCACGAACGCTCGAACCCCGGGTCCTGGAAAAACGGCGCTCTCTGCTTCAGGCTGACTGCACCATGAATGAATCATTGCAGCCTACAGATGGCAACCTTTGAAAACTGAAACTGATGCTTCAAAACAATCAAACCCAATCCTCAAAACCCCAATATCCGGTAAGTGCTCGCCATGATGTCATGAGGCCATGCTGCACAAGGATCCCATCAATGAACAGCTCATTCAGACTGATGGGTTTCCGGCTCAGGGCCTACATTCCTGATTGACACCATAGTCAGTCACCTGACCCGGCCGAAGATACAAAGTGCAATTGAGCCCGGACCGCTCCAAACCATGCAGCTAGTAATTAAGCATGCAGTCCCTTGTAGAATCCCGCAAACCAAAAAAGCAGAAACCGACACCCTACACAACATCGAAAAGATGGTGATGGTGCTGTTCAAGCATCGATGTGGTACTTGTTCTTCATGTACCTGGGGTTGAGAGGAGCTGCTGATCCCTGTCGTGTATCTTGGATTCTGCTGAAGAACGTACCACGGAACCACATGAGTTTTTACCTCAAGGTTTCGGTTCTACCACAGCAGTAGTTTCAGACCGAAGACAGTGCTGCTGTATGAACTTCTGGCGGCCTCCTTCAGGTGTAAAGGCGATACTACTCCCAAAAACCTGCCATCGTGGGGCGTAGTGGGCTAAAAGAAACTATCAGCTCTTTAGCTATCTATGATCCACATGAATATATTATCAAAACTTAACCCTACAATCCGATAGAGCCCTTCACCCGTAACAACACAAATCCTAAACCCCACCCGCCGCGACCCGGGAAAACCATCCCATTTCGCCTTTCTGGGATGTGGCCACCGGCAGCATTTTGCAGAAAGGTTTGCAGGGCTTCAGGCTTTAGGCCTCGGACGCATCAGTGGGCCAAGACCTCGAGTTATACTGTTGCATCGTGAGGATTCCGTGCTACCATGCCAGCTAGTCATCCCTCTGCCTTCCGTCAGGCGGAGCTGATCTACAGAGAGTGGCGAACTCGATTCTGAACCCTTAACTTTAAGTCTCTAAAGCCATACGCCGCAATGGTGCCATCAGAGCCAAGTTAACCAAGCCCGATAAGCCCTCGAGCTGTGGGCCGCAAATCTCCGAGCCCGTGGCCCTGAATCGGGCACCGCGGAGCCTCAACCCGAAACTCGGGCCTAAAGCCACTGATCATGCACTCCTAGGTCCTAGATCATTAAAATCCCCTGCAGCCCCAGATTATCCGACATTCCTAGGCCAGTAGAGCACACAGCCGTGGCACTTCCCCCACTTGATGAGCTGGGAGCGCACGAAAGGATTTGACTGGTTGAGATCCTTGGCGATGTACTCACGGCTTAGGGGTTAGGATGTAACCGAACACCTAACCTAGTGGCGAGAGCACTTAGTCCCCTGACGAGGAACATCTGGCCAGAACATGTCCACAAGAAAATGATGATCAAGCTACGATAGGAAGAGCAGATGATAATGGGATCCTGTGACAGCTGTTTAAAAACCGATAAATAGCTCCTTGGGGGGGTCAGGGGTGACTCCGGCACAACTTTGGTTGAATTCTTAAACTCTTACAGATGATGGTATGGGTCCGCGAGGACCTACAAGAATTCACCTACTGGCGCTTGCTGAGTTGTATTGTCACATGAATTGGGCAAAATATGTAAATATTGAGACCTGTGTCAGCAGTTTAAACAAGTTCAATATGTTTGGGGGAGTCCGGTAAGCCCATTCAACAATGAGGAGGAGGGTCGGGCGCGTGGGAGGGGGACGGGGATCGTGAGATTTACTTCAAGCAATGTTTTGACTGTAAGGGGTGGGGGTTCCGGTCAAACCGTAAACGGTTAAACCCCTCTAGCAATCTTATAGTACCCTAATGGACCCCACGCAATGCCCCCAAGCCCCGAATGCGCGTCGAAAACCTCTCGTGAAATCTTGCACCGAGGATCGCCCAGGTCGTAGAACCAGCCTGCTGGACTCAGGGTTTATGTAGGGTTTAGGATGATGGCTTATCTCATTTTGTTGCTTCAGTCTTTAGTTGACAGCAAGTTGGTTGTTGCTTCTTGGGTTTAATGTGGGGTGTTTTGGGGTTTGGGGGATTCCTTCTTTTGCGTTCTTGTTTCATGCTCGCAGAACTGGAGCACTGCTTCAACATCGTAATTACATAGAAGATAGATATGTGCTGTGCCTGTGAGATAACTACATGTTGCCACCTGTGGGTATGGTTTGCAGCATTGGGCTGTTGGTGTCCTAAGGCCAGGCAAGCTGAGCTTTGAAGCTTTTCTGCTCGATGTTGGACTCCAGGGGCTTAGGGCCTTGGGTTTTAAGGAAAGCTGTTGAGTTCGCACATGCACCGACTCCCGAGCACATCTGCTTAACAGCGGGACATTCCAAAGTTAAATGATCTCTACAAATGCAGCTACTTCACTGCCCCGCGGCTCAGACTAACAACTACAGCGCGTGCCGCAGCATCTAAGTTTCAATCCCCCGGGAACAGGCCGCGTCCTGAAATGGTCGTTGGCTCGTCATAGCCTTCGCAGATCAGATCCCCCACATTGCAGAATGGGATCGTCCTTGGGCTCCGTGAGTCTTCATTGGTGGGTTCAGGACTACAAGCCAGGCTCGCCTAAACTCTAAAGGAAAATCAGAACCCCTTACTGAACCCGGTAACCTCGACCTGCGGTCCTAGCCTTTACGTGAAGACCTCTCCTTCAAGACAGCCCCTTCGAGCAACAGCAGCACAGCCTGGAAGCGGTGCACTCACAATCACAACTCCCTGAAACCTACCCTAGACCTTGAAATCCTCACCCCTATATAAACGTAGAATTGAAACTCTGCAAAACCCCCTCTATTCAACCCTAAACACTAAATCCCAAGCCCCGGTCCATGCAAGCTGCAGCACGCAACACTAAAGAGAACCGTCAAATTCCGGGGAATCTTGAGCCCATAGCCTCGACGCAGACCCCACTCTGCAACCAAAGCCCGGCAACGTCGGGATCCGAAGCCCCAGGACCCGAAGCCCAAACCCTAAGCTACTATTTGCTTAAGAGCCCCCAAAAAATAAAAAATATATTCCTTATGGGGGTAATATAGGGATTATTATTTTTATTTTTTTGGGGCTTCTTAAGCAAATAGTAGTAAGCTGCACAATTCTGAAGCCTAGACCACCCCCTTTGTGAGGGCTCAGGGGGCTTCATGCCTTGGCTACAAGGCCACTTGCCGCTCAAGCATTACAAAACCGCGTGAATTACTGTAGAGCTCCATGAAAGTGACTATGTAACGCTGTAAACCTACCACAGAACTAAACTACAGCTAGAATGAGCTAGAACCATATAGAAGCAACCCATCCTCCGGTGTCACCCATGCATCCAAAAGACGCTGGTCCAGGGCGTTTGTCCAGGAGAATCTCGTCCGCCTCACTAGGACCTCGGTTCTATCTTTAAGATTTGGGGGGTTGAGGTTATGGAGTTTAGGAATCTACGCAAATCTTTTGTTGAAGGATTCCACTTATCAGGATGATTTAATAGAAGCTTCGAGAGAGTGTTGGGGTGGTTTTTTTAGGCCTTGGCTTCGAGGCTCGGGCTGGAAGCATTGGGATGTTGGGACTCTGCAGTTTCGGGGTCAGGCTATTGTGGGACCCTATACATCCTAAACTTCACCAGCGGAAGGCTAATAAATAGAAGCGACATACTAAACCTCATGGTTGAACAGACTTATATACAGGAGAACCTACTGTAAAAACCTTTATTACAAAATACCATGAACGATACCCATTGTCAACCAAATCACAATAAAGATACTTATCATAAACCGGTTAACACCCCTCACAATTTCACCTAGACCTCGACTTCATTCAAAAACTTAAGTCTCGATCGGCGAACTCTGCTAAGACACGGGATTCAGGTTTGGGAGTTAAGGGTGTATAGGGTATATAGCAGTATAGGCTTAAGCGTGATGTGTTTTAGGATCTGAGCTTGTTTCAGGGTGCTGTGGTGATGAAGGGGCTGGGGATTCACTGAGTTTGCGCTTCCGGGCTCGAGGCTCCAACACTACAGGGATAATTGCAACAACCACAACAACCGCAACCACAACGACAACGCCACCGTCGCCACCACCACCACCACCGCCGCCACCGGCAGCAGCAGCAGCAGCAGCCACCGCAACAGCCACAGCAAAAGCACCAGCAGCAGCACCAGCACCACCACCAGCAGCAGCAGCAGTAGCAACAGCAGCAACAACAACGCCGCCACCACCACCACCAACCCCCAGCAGCAACAGCAGCAACAGCAGCAGCAGCAGCAGTAGTAGCAACAGCAGCAGCTACAAATACACGTACATTTAATACTACTGCTGCTGCTGCTGCTGCTGCCACTACTACTACTACTACTACTACTACTGTCTTGCTGCTTCTACTAGTACTCCTACTGCTTCTGCTACTACTAAAAGCAGTTTGCCTTAAGGCCGAGAGTCAAGGATTTCCAAACCCGGGGTCGACTCGACACCTGACGTAGGTTTCCGTAGAGATTTCGGGGTATCTTACTGTAGGGTTTTGCGTTCTCCAACGTCTTTACGGAATTCAGGGTCTGGAGTTTAATGAAGGGCTACGAGTTTACGGTTTAGGGTCCAGCTTCTCTGGGGAGTATGGGCAGGCTGCGGTGGATTTCGGGGGGATCACAGTTTGGGGATCAAGGCTCTGAACAGCGCCCCGTGACCGTAAGTAGACCATATCGGGGATTGCCCAGATCCTAAACCCCAAAACCTCAACCCTTTAGCCTTAGAAAGGAGACCCGTCGGGCTTAAGCGCTTGTAGCTTTCAGGCTTTGGTTCTTCGGGTGCCGAAAGGGAGTCTCTGCAAGCAGTAACCGGCCGCACTCAAAGCTCCACCGGCAGCATGGTAAAGCCATGATTTGGCTACAGTAGCGTGCAGGCTGGCATCAAGCCATTCAAAAGTCAACCGAATACAGAACCCCATACCCTGAGCCCTACAAGCTAAACAACGACGGACCGTACCCAGAAAACCGAAGGACGAACCAACACCTTGAACCTGGAATCCTAAGCCTTAAACTCTTAAGCCCCAAACTCTCAAACTCTCAACCCCTGCACCCTCCAGCCAAAACAGTATCCCAAGGCCTGACATCTAGTCGCACGGCTCTGTAACGCGTACTGTGAAAGTCTCAAAACCCTACAGCCTCACATCCCAAAGCCCAAAAGACACAATTATGAAATTTTCCGCTGGGCACCGGAAGTTCTCGCAGCTATCGAAGTTCGATCCGCAGATGGCCCCCGGCCCCATCGCCTGCAATTTCTAGCGGGTTTTTCGTACCTATAGTGTAGGCGGCTAAAGGGGGTTGTTACGAATCACACCACCTGTATTAGCCACATGTCTCGCAGATGTTTAGGGCCAAAAACCACGCTACCTGAGTTCTCCGGGGCCACTGCATGAGTTCTCCAGGGCAAACTCAAGTATCTCGGGTTTGAAGGTTTCAGAGTTTGAGAAATTTGAGCTTCAGGGGTTTTGGGAGAGGACACCTCGGAGCCCATTACACTATAATTATCATAAGGAGCCCTAAAGTAGTATAGGCAATTATTAAGATGAGCAGTTGTGGCTTCGGATACATCGGAGGATTCAGGCTTCCGATTTCAGGGTGGATTCACGACGAATGGTACCCTGGTCTATACTGAACTTAGAACCCTAGCAAAATTGTAATTTTAGCTGTTTCTTAGGGGTTATACTAACCAAAATTGTAAAAAATCTAAGTAACCCTAAGTGGTTCGTATTTGGGAACTTTCAGGTCAAAAGGTCTCCCTGGCCTGCGTAGGCGGCCAAAAGCTCGTACCTCCGTAGGCTTTGCCGCGGGCATACTCATCGAAGGTCAGGTTTCCGCGACCCAGTTGGTTGATGTACTCCGGCTTGTTGAAGGGATGGAAAGTTGCCAGCGTCTTCTCGTCATGTACCTGGGATGAAGCGCCGCTGGGAACCTGGCTCTGCACCTAGAATGCAGCCCTGGCTACAACTTTGCTCAGTCGAAGGAAACGATCAGAAGTACCTTCCTGCTGTCTTGACGTCTCCTCATCTTGACCTGACAATACTCTGCATCGTCAGTGGCCAAAAAACCGAGAAATCGAAGCTTCGTAAGACTTGCTGACCGTGGTGTGGCGAACTCCACGTACGGAAGCTCTGCCACACAAAACTGATATGGTAGTAGGACTGGCAATACAAGGACGAAGCAACAGATACAGAAAAGGAGGGGAGGCGGCTCTAAAGCCGGGGCAGTAAAAACCCTAGACTCTCAAACAATCTTTAAACTTTAAACCCTTCTTGTACACAAGAAGGACCTGGTCTTCCCCCCAACTCTTTCTGTCTAGGGTGCTGGTCCAACATGATTCAAGACGATATCATAGACGAAGACCATGTCCCTGCGATGGAGCTCATCGGCCAAAGCTTTCAGGTCCTCGAGGGGTCTTTGCACAAGGATCTGGATCTTGCGGGGGCTTCTTGAAACCAGAGAAAGCGTAATCAAGGGCATTGATCAAAAGGTTATAAGCCCGTAGTACACCCTCCTCGAACTTCTATGCTGCAACTGGCAAAACTTCTCCAAGGTACCCTTGTGCCGCTGAAATCTCTCAGAAGACACATGACGAACAGACGGGCCAGAAACATCATCCCAAACACCCCTACCTCAAATGCAAAAGCGACAGCCCCCACCCTGATCTCCTTCTCAGTCCCGAAACTGGGGTCGATCTTGTAGATGTCCTCGTGCTGGCTCTGCAAGTCCAAATAGACAGGGTAAGGGCTTGCGGTTGTAACAGGTCCACAGCCAGTATACTGGCCTTAATAATTAGAATAGGGTTTGGGGGCCCAGTATACTATAAATATAACAAGGGCCCCCCAAAATAGTATAGGTAATTCTTAGAGCCCGGGAATTTAAACTTCCTAAACCCCAAACCAGGATCATTGGCGAATCTGGCATGAGAGTTCCTCTTGTCGAAAAAAGCCTCAGCCGCACGTGATCAGGGAAGAAGCACACCACCGAGTGATGCTGAAAGTTCAGGAGCCTTAAAGGTACGAGCCCTACGCCACGAAGGTTGGGGTCCAAGGGCCGCGATGGAAGGTATGGCTTCTAGGTTGGGGTCTAGAGTTATGTGGTCGGAAAGCCTGCGAGATTCATACCATCCTTTCCGGGTCCTTGGCCCAATAGCCGTAGCTGCCGAAGCCGCTCTGCTTATCGGGATCTGGCCCGTAGAATTGAAGCACGGCCGGAGTTATCCAGATGCCCTCGAAACCTCAGCTTCTGATCGGAAGTTCAGGGGCATTTTTCCGGGCTCATGGACATTCCTACAGTGCGTCTCATCACGGCAGCCCCCAATGTGGGGGGAAATTGTTTGTGAGGTATTTTTGTTGGCCAGCCACCCTGGCCCAACCCTGACCCGTATCCGGAATCTCTCTTGACATTGGGAGATGGAGCCTGGACGTTGAGGGAGAGAAGATGAGGGAGGGAAGACGAGAACCAAAACCATTGTCACAGGACCTTCCTCAACCCTGGGCAACACAACCTCTGCAACTTCTGAAGAGATGTCAACAAACCACCATGCCAACGCCCTTCTGGCTTCGAGCTTCGGGCAGGGGGGATTATTTTCTGCATCTGTAGGCCGTGTGGAAATCTCGACAGTGAACAGTAAGTGCCGCGGAAAAGACCCTCCCTAAACGCCAGATCCTAGAAGCAGGATCTGAACTCACCCGGCGACTGCAGTCAAGACACCCATGCCTTGAATGTAATCGAGGTGATTGGTAATGCCCTTGATGGTGCCGTTGCCTGAGTTTCGGGTCAAGAGAACTTGCGCCTAGGATGCTGGACGAGCGGCGGACTCAGGTCAAATTTTATAGCGAAGGATTTGGCTTGGTTCGACCACCCACCTCAAACCCTAAACCGAACGCGGCCCAAGGAGGTCGCACGATACCCATGTTACTCTCGTCTCCATACAGCTGCAGCAATAGTGTGAAAGACGACCTTTAGTTTTTTAGCACGCATGTGGGAAACCTGTCGGCCCGAAGCCAAAACTCTAAAATTGAGCTACCATGCCGCCGCCGTTTCCTCCAACTACAGAAGAAATCATGAGGGCAGACTTGGTGCGACTATCGCGATTCCTCAAGGTTCTTGGGTTTTGGCTGCGAGAAGACCGAAACCTCATTGGATCGATCTATGTACCTACCTACACCTACCTATATCTATGTACATAATATCTGTGCATGTATATGTATACACACATATAAATAAATAAATAAACAAATAAATAAATAAATGAATAAATAACTAAATCAATGAATGAATGAATGAATGGATGAATGAATGGATGATGGATGGATGGATGAATGAATGAATGAATGAATGAATGAATGAATGAATGAACAAATGAATAAATAAATACATAAAAAGTAAATAATTATAAGCATATATATATATATATATATACACATATGTACGTATGTCTATACTGTATATGATATTGATATATATATATATATATATATATATATATATATATACATATATATATATATATATATGTATATACATATATATATATATATATATATGTATATATGTATATGTATATACATATATATATATATATATATATAGTGGATCATGGGGGGGGGGCGAGCATATATATATATATATGTGTATTAATAGACATAGGGGCAACCCTCAAGCCCAAACCCCAAGTCCCTCCAGCTCCAGTCACAACGTATGCGCCTTGATGACTAGACTAGCGCTTTCGGGCATGCTCTGGTACAACAGGGGAACGATAATTAAGGGGACAGTACTATCAACTATTCCGACCCCTCTAACGACCAACAATTTCCAGGCTACACCACCCCTGAGGGGCGCAGTCTGCATCAGAAGGTGGTGGGTATGTGTGCGGATCCGCGAAGTAGTCGGTGACAATGAAGTACAAGCTCTTCCTCGGCGGAGGGTCTCTTCAGGCTTAGGGTTTATAATTGATAGGGCATCGTTGTAACAAATTGTGGGGCTTTGGCTTTAAGCTTTGAGGCATAGAAGTTTGCTCTAGCTAGAGGCTAGGATTGACAAATGCGGCACGCACATCTGAAAGAGGATGTACTGAAATGAAACCGGAACAGAAGAGGAGAGACGACATGAGAGAAAAAAACCACAGACTGACAAACGGCGATCGACAAACTGCACCCTTAAGCCCAACAAACACAACTTCTAAGATGCACAGTTTAATGTGGCCACCGGGCTCCATCCATGTCAAATTTGGTGCTTCCACCCTGTCTCAGTGTTTTCTATGTCTAGCTGGATTGCGAAAACCAAGATGCAGCTCCTTACGGTTTAGGGCAGCTTAGTGTCTAGATCTAGAACTGAGTTCAGGATTTGGGGGATTTGAAATATACTTACAACTCTGAATAGCTCTACTATGCTCTACTGCATCTTGTATGCTTCTGCCTGTCGTGAATTCTCTCGTGGCTATCCTCGATGGTGTGTGTTTTTTGGCTGCGACGCTGTTCAGCGTCCTAGATGTTGACATTGGCGATGTTGGTGTTGCTGCTGTAGCACTGCCAATGCTGTGGCTGCTATTGCTGCTGTTGCTTGTGCAGTTGACGTGCGTGGTGGTGGTTGTCTTGATGGAGTCGACAGTGGCGGTGGCGGCGGTGTCGGTGGTGCTGCTGGTGGTGGTGGTGGCGGCAATGAGTTGTTGCGCTTGTTGTGTGATGGTGGTTGTGGCGGCGGTGGTGGCGTCGTCAACACATTGCTGTTTTCACTCTTTGCTGGGTGGGATTGTCGTTATTGCTGGCACTGTTGATGATGATGGCGCTGGGGGTGGTTGTCGTCACGGCATTGGCCCTAACTACCAAAACCTACATGGTCATTCGCATGAGTACACTTCAGCACTGAGACTTGCTGCTGTCACTGCTGGGCGAGGCAATTGTCAGCGATGTTCTAGCTACTCCTCCGTCGGCTTACGCTTATTATTGTCGAGATCACTGCGACTGTTTGTCCGAGTTTGTATTCTTCTTGGCGGTTACTAGTTGTAGTCATTGTAGTAATCTACCATTACAGTGCAATGATACCGGAAACTGAGCACTTATCGAATCAACAAAAAGGAGCTGTTTGAACCATGCAAGTCTTCCATACCGTACGAGTAGAGATTCATAATTTGTGGACAAGCGCTCGAAAATGCCGCAAACCTTAAACCTAGAGCCATTAAAGCTTTCTGTACTGCCGTTGACACCAGCTAGTGACACCCAAATGCCCCAGCCAGGAGTCCCCTTGATGTCGCGCGGAATGTACTCAGTTGGCTTCTGCCGAAGCATCATCAACGAAGACGGCTCCTTAGAGGATCGTGAGGGCTTGGCATGCGGGCCGGTGAACAAAACGGGTAAGGATCCAGCAAATCAATACTGAGTAACCAGCAATCTAACAAAATGACTCATGCACAAAGTCATGTATGTATGTATGTATGTATGTATGTATGGACGCATGTCTTCAGGTACGCAAGTAAGTATGCGTGTGTATGTGTATATATATATATGTATATATATGTATATATAAATTATACGCATGCATACCTGCATACTCCCACTTACCTAAGTACATGCATGCATGCGGGCTGAGTGACTGAGTGACTGACTGACTTACATGCTTACACACACATACCTACCTGCCTACCTGCATACCTGCCTAGCTACTTATCTACGTACATACGTCAGTACATATTCACATACATACATACATACATACATACAAACTTACTGCTTTACTTACTAACGTACTGACGGACCTGCATACATGTAACTGTGTTTATATACATTATCATATACACATACGTGCATGCATAAATACGTACACGTGTATGCACCGGTATAAGCCACGTTAACGGTGCCCGTGTGTGGATGTATGTATGTATGTATGTATGTATATATACATATATATATATGTACATATAATATATATATATATATATATATATATATATATATATATACATATGCATATATTCATATGTATATTCGACGCACTTTATAATACGAATGTACATATGCATAGTCGACAGTAGAAGTGCATAAATCCATGTAGCTGCATGTACATCGAAACACCCCCATGCACACAGAGAATGTGCTTTGGCATCCTTCTATACTCCCGCCCGATTCTCCAGGTCCTTGTCCGGGCATGCTCCATTCTCGCAGCCGGGCTCGCCAAGGACCTCCATACAACCCCAGGTCGAGACGTCAGAGCAGATTTTTTTAGGGTAGAGGAGTGTCGCCTTTACTTTAGAAGACCGTGAGAAGCGTTTAGCTGTGCAGGGTTTTTGGAGTTTCGGGGTTCGGGATTTAAAGGTTTAGGGCCGGGATTAGGGGGTTTACGGGCAAATTGTCTTTGGCTGTAGCTGCTCGGGTTTGGAGCATCGACAAAGAGCCCACATCGAGCTTAACTTAAACACTAGGCTATGGCGAGCAATTGCGGGGTTGTCTGTGAGCTACGGGCAGGGTTTTGAGTAGGGGCTGTTTAGTGTTCAGGGAACTGCGTTATTTCATTTATTATCGCGGTAACTCTTCAAGTTCCACATAAGAAGAAATCTTGGAATCGCATACCATATAGGACACGCTAGAATGGGGTAGCGCGGCTCCAGAAAGTTGTGTGACAGGCAAGGATGCCTAAGAGCATTAGGATGTTTCGGAGGGGAATGGGGGGGCTCTCCGTTCAGGGCTGACCAGCGAGCAATGACTCGAAACGGTTTTTTTCAAGACTGGGGTCAATGTGTTGCTCGAAAGGTTTTGAAAAAGTTATCAAACAGGCTGTAAGTAGCATTATCAGTATAGGCATATATAGGTACCGTGACTAGGGTTATTGTACTTGCAACCCATGTCGTAACTTACTTGAGAGATCCCCCTGTCGCAACTTAAGAAGTCCTCTTCCCCTGATCCTTCAAGCAAAAGCTTCTGTAAAACAGCAGGATAATTTGTGTCCATATGTTTTTTTGGCGACATACGAAGTCTTCTTCGCAAACGATAGCCCTGGCCTTTGCCAAGAGGAGCAGCACAACGAAGCGTCGCATGGCACGACAGCAAAAGCCCTGAAATGTAAAACTCGATGGCCTGAGTGCCCTAAAACCGAAGATCTGAATCGTAAGTGTTATGCCCGACAAGCTCAAGGTCCTAAAGCTACGAGGCTAAAGTCTTAAACCGTCAACCAAACCCAGAAGCTCAGCTTGAGCAAGAGACCGCGGCGAGTTGGGTCACAACGTGGATGAACCCCTGAAATCCAAAACAAAACATCCCGCAATCTCGCAGGGTCGTAGAGTCCTACTCCTGTAGACCCCAACCGGACTTGACGACATGCATGTTAAGTGTTTAAGTTTGGGTTTGGGGTTTCGTTCCGGGCTCATCAGGAGCCGTAAACCGCAAACCCTTCAGGCTTTTGTGGTCCAGGGTTCTATGCGGGTTGGCGTCGGAGACCCAGGAGTTTCCAGTGAAGGGTTCGAGCTGTAGGGTCCAGAATCAGCACATGAGCAAGCTTTGGCCGGTTTGTCGGGATGCAAGCAACTGTTCACGGGCCATAGAAGCTGTGCTTGAGGGCGCAAAGTCGGAGTCGAATATGCATCCCCTACAATGTGATGCCTAACAACTGCTCCACTTCATGCCCAAAGATGTGCTTAGCAAGAAAACCCGAAGGCCAACCATCCTATCGTTTGATGAAGCCGGGACTTACGGTCAGCTTACGGTCTAGTGTTTCGGGTCTCGGGCTTTGGGAATCTAACTGAAGCCTGATTTGAATGCTCCACGGATCTCCATCGTGAATTCCGCATTCCCAACTAAGCCCTGAATGCATGAGTGCTGGCAAGGCACACAACGGGGTGGGGGTGTGCTATTCAAGATGCTTCAGTGGTCAGGGTTTCGGATGTGCGTGCGCCAAGGAGCACCTGAAGTCTCGAGCTTGTCAAACCTTGACTCCCGCACGTAGCTAGATGCGAGTTCGGGGAGACGGATGCTCGACCCAGAACATAACCGCCTAATCCACGAATTCGAAACCCTAAGCGCTTAAACCCTAGCCTCATTCAGCTTCTGCACTTTGGAAGAGCTGTCATAATCCTCATCCTCGGAAGTGGGCTCCCACCCGCAGAGTTTGGGGTTTCGGACTTCGGGCATGGGATTCAAAGGCACTTTTTATCCTATCAAACTCGTAGATTCAGAGGTGCCATATTGTATATGTTTGGTTCAGAAGTCTTTTCACGTAGTCTTCTTTCGTAATTTGAACTATGTTCGTAATGACTCTCGTCACAATTGAAACTCAGGGCTCTAGATGACACGTTTCGGGCGGGAAAATTGAAACATAATCAAACTGCGGTCCATTCCGGCATCCTTCTTCCGGTGCTTGAGAGTTTGGGGTTTGGGGCCTGTCCTCTTCGGTCTGAGGTTAGGACTTAGATGTGCGGTATCCTGGGGGGTCTGCAGTTGAACCTTGGGATTGTATAATGGTTATAGTACCCCCCCCCCCCCCCCCCCAAGGTTTTTTTCAGGGTACCTGCTCTACTACCGACAGGATGCTTGGGTTGTCGCTTGCTGAGCTTCGCGGACTCGGTAGGTTCCGGCCCCATATTCTACTTCTTCAGCTCTTAACCCGGTATCTTCAACCCTGAAACCCAAAGAAATTGAGGCTGAGCACATCAGTTTGGGATCAGGGTCTTGGGGATTTACCAAACTCGGAACCCTAAGCCCCAAGTCCTGCACTAAATGAAGCCGTAAACCGTCCGTGATAAGCCCTAGGCCAACGGCCAATACCTTGTCACCAAATTGGAAAAGGCCTTTTTCAAGAACAAATTCACCGACCCTAAAACCCCACAACCCTCAAGCCCGATTCCAGCCCCACTGCCACAGCTGCAGCTCGAGGCGCCTTCGTTGCCTCGGGCTCCACGAGTCGCAGGATATTCCTGAGGGGAAAGATGACGTTGGTTCGGTTAACGGGCACCATGAGGTTTTAGAAGGTTTAGAGTTAAGGTTTCGGGCTTAGGGTTTCTAGAAGGTTCTGTTAAGGGCACAGACTCCTACACAGGTTGCTATATGTTGCTATAAGGGTTGCTTTTTGAGGGGTCCTACAAGGGCTCTCTCAAGGTTTAGAGTTCAGTTGCTTTTGGGGTTCATAATAAGGTTTGAATGGTTCATATTAGGGTTTGAATGGCGGCATGTGCGATTCTCTCCGTCTCTCTGGCTTTCTTGTTGCCAATTTCCACGGTGTGACACTCCTCTTTCGTCGTCGTTGGTCGTGTGTTGTGGGTATAAAGGACCCCCGACCTGACTCTTGTCAGCTGCAAAAACCGTCGCGAAACGGCCAATCACAACTTGACGAACTGGAAAAGACCGCGGATCCGAGAAGAGCGTGGGAGATGAGGAGAGACGGAGCGAGAGAGAGAGAGAGAGAGAGAGAGAGGACCAGAGGGAGGGGGGAAGAGAAAGAGAGAGAGAGAGAGAGAACAGACCAACAGTGATGGATCACCTCATGGAGCGATGCATGCAGTCACAATGCAAGTGGCAACCCGAAATGCCTACGCAGCCATTGCAGGGCCATACTGCATCGAATGATTGTGCGGTCAAGTCGTCAGGCATCAGGCGACCACAAGAAGACACCCAAAACCTGAACAAAACAAGGAACGCAGAGTTAACACTACCGTACAAGAAACCCGAGGACCGAAACCAACCGTACAAAGGCCATATGTTCGAAATGAATTTAGGTTCAAGTCCTCAGGCATCAGGCGCCCATAGCAGAAGCCCGAAAAACAGGACCGAAAAGTCCGCCTCACCTTGCAGAAAGATCCGAGGAAACAAGCAACCATAAAGAAAGGCCATCTTGCATCGAATGATCTTACTGCCAAGTCGTCACACACGTGTGCAACTTGAACCCGAAACCCCAAACCCTGAACCCTGCCACTTGCGCCACTTGAGCCCTCATCCCTAGACCAAGTGCTTCAAGTGGTACACCGTTAGCAAACGGTTCGGGGTTCTGCAACTGTCAAGTGCCTCCAGCGCGCGGTTCGACTTAGCGGCTTCAGAGCCTTCAGCCTTCGACCCTTAAAGCACCCAACCCTAAAGCCCAAACCTCAAACCTTAAACCCTAAACCAAGGCTTCGCCACTGCAAACGAGAGCACTGTCGGTCGGCGAGCACCGATGCTTTGGCCTTCTGAATCTGCACCTTTCGGGGCTCTGGCTGCGGGACTTAGACAAGCTAAGACCATCGGAATGTGCAAAAGCAACTATAGTTGTTGAAGTTTTGAAGTCAGGTTCAGGGCTTGGGGTCCGAGTCAGGGGATTTAAGATTGCTGGCTCAGGGGGTGTAGAAAGGAACCTAAAAATCACCAACGCAGATTACATTGGGGATCGGGCTTAAACCGCATCGGCAACACCGAGGCTGGCACGCATCCGAAGGCTTTCCACACCTGCAGCGACAACAATTCGGCTCCGCACCCTCGAGAAGAGCAGTAAGACTGTGTTGTAGCTATGCGCCCGTTTCTTCCATTGGACAGGGCACGACAAATCGATCCGAAACAGAACGCAGCACGCCAGAAGCGGCTAGAATCATGTCTACGGGGCTTCGTGCACTCAAAACCTGCAGCTCGAGCCCAGCTGTCTGGCAAATGGGTGTGTTACCCGAGGGCTGCAAAAATACTCAAGAGCTTGAGTTCAATTTCCGACACACTCCGCATCATCTAAACCCTATCCATATATATATATATGTATAGATTGATAGATCCTTTATAGATCCCTATACAGATCCCTTAAAGGAACCCATCTGTTTAGGAAAGCGTCTGAGATCATCCCACTCGCTGCTAACGAGGCGTGGAACTGCTCCTCCGCTTCTTCCGACATGATGACCTGCGTTTCCGCAATGTGGTTTCTATCTCGTGTGTATGTATATATATATATATATATATACATGCTCTCGGGTCCCGGGCCGCCACCCCCCCCCCCCCAATGGTATCCCCCCCCACCACCCCCACTGCTGCACGCCCACCCACCCTGCACCCCGGCCCGCCCGCACTTTGCCCGCCCCTTGACCTTGTGCGCGGGAGTGTCGCACTATGCCCTGGTGCGGAAAGCGGCAATCGGCTCAGTAGTTTCCAGCATCTGACATGAATTGCAATGCTGAATTATGAGGGTTGTATGGCGATGGTGATGGTGGCAGATATTCTTTTGAAGGTATTAATGATGAAGATGACGACGACAAGGATGATGTTGAGCATGGTCTGATTGTCGCCTCATGTCCCGGTCTAGAGCAGCACAACATCTTGAGCAGTATCACCGGTGCCACAGCAAGAGGGAAGACAGGGAGAAACACATAAGAACGTCGCGGCAAAAAAGAGTACCACCACAGGCCCCACACCACAGGGGGGGCGGGGGGGAAGGGGGAGGATACCATGGGGTGGGGGGGAGGGGGGTGTGGCAGCCCTGCATCATATATACATACGTGTTGAAGCTGTGTGTGTGTATATATATATATAGAAATGTGCAACGATTGTACTACCCTCCTTGCTATGCTGCAAGGACTTGTGTCTGTTTTTAGTTTTCAGAGCCTTGGAGCGGAGCGCAGTGAAAGGGCATGACAAGCAGCCTAGCATAGGGTGCCAAAAGGCACCCAATCTTGGGCATGGGATTACAGTGAAGATATTTCGGCATAAGGACCAAGCGGATGTTCGAGTGCATGGTTTTGGGTGTAAGGCTTAGGTCTTGGAAGTCTTGGCACTCTGAAGGCTCATGGTATGAGCTTTCGGCTCTTAGAGACTTGGGGCCTGTATGGCAGTTTCTGCTCACGGTCAAAGCCAAATATGACTAAACCCTAAGCCGTATGATTTAAGGATCAAGCGAGAGATTTTTCATGCATGGCTTCGGAAGGTGGAGGTTAGCACCTTAGCATGTCCAGCGTTCATGGCGATCAGGGAGTTACTGGGGGGTTGACAGCTTCCAGGGTCTAGGACATGGTAAGTTGATGCCGCTTTACAGCCTGGAGGTTCATTATACCATGCACAAGTAGGGTTTAAGCTTACGTTCCTCTGATTCACAATTTCT